AAAAACTTGAGTAGCATTCAGATGATAGGATTGTAATATTAATCAACGCTATGTTGCTGGCTTAGTATCTATGTCAGGTTGATTGTATATGGTTGAGTCTTTGATAGGTAGCATTCAGGGCTGTGGGGCGTCGGGCAAGGCGCCTCTCTAGGTGTTGGCCGTCGGCCACCGTATTAACCACCCAAGCACTGCAGACGCCGTTAACCTTCCGGACCTAGCTAACTGATCTCCGCATTATTCGGAGTACGTCTACCATGTTCTATGGTGAAGGTCAACATGCCTGATTAGACTTCAATGCAGAGAACTTTGTTTTCACAATGCCGTGCCTTCTACAAATGGATATTGTTAGTCGCCGATGTCGATTGTTGATGAAAACTGATCACCATCTCAAACTACAAACTTCAAACCCTTCAAAACCAAACCTTGTCACGTCGAACTAATGCCGTCTTCACGATTTGATATTGGATTATAGTTATTTTACCAATAGATCAAATTGCTGTCTGCCTTCTGTGGTTGATACACATTGAAGAAGGCTTCCCCGACGATATCCACAAGGCCAAAATGACTTGTGCAGCTGTCAAGGCCAAGAGGACCTGTCCCCGTTATACCAGCCTAGCCGTATCTTATCATTCCTTGATACTTCGAGGCTTGTTCTTGCCCACTGGTTCCCTAGTTGCTGTAGCCTAGCGGCAATTTTGAAGGGTGCATTCGCTGATAATACTACGATAATGCAATCTCGCTGACGGCAAAATTCCTTGGCCAATTGCCAACTCAACAACTTAATTGAGCTTTGCACTCAGCCCAAGCTCGCCTTAACAGTAGTTTAATATCAGTTGATGAAGTCCAACAATTTCTTCCTAGACAGTCTCGACATGCGAAGACGCCTCGCGCCCCCTAGATTGGAATGTGGATTGCCAGCCCAGTAGGGCTTACACTTGCTGCCACTCTCGGTATTCTCGTCACGAGCGCTTGCCGAGAGATGTACGGATCAGTCATATGGCAACCAATCACACTGCTATTGAAAATACAAGATGTGAACTATAGCTCGGCTGCTCGCGCAGGAAAATTCTTTGCCGGTGCTGGATGGTATGTCAGCCAGTTAGCAGTGAGTTGAGATAGAGGCAGGAACGTGTTCATCGTACTAACTTTGGATAGATCAATGTCTCTCTCAATACCGTTGCCGCAGGAATGGATCTTACCTCAGTACTTAACCAGTATATCGATTCTCGCCGAGGGTCTATCTTACTTGCCAGCATCGGCTTCGCCGTTTGCCCTTGGAATTTTGTGAACTCAGCGGCTACGTTCACTACTGTTCTATCTGCTATAGGACTATTTCTCAGCCCTCTGACAAGCATGTATGTGGCGGACTTCTGGATAATAAGAAGGCGAAACTGGAAGGTTCCGGACCTCTCTATTGGTGATAAAACCAGTATCTACTGGTTTACCGGAGGGTTTAATCTGCGGGCAATTGCCTGTTGGTTCATTCTCATCTGGATGTCCTTGCCAGGTCTCGCGGCAGCTGTCCGAGGAGAAGTTATGGGCAGTCCAGGAAGCATATTTTTGACATGACTTTTTTGATTGGTAAGTCTTACCTGAGCCGTATCACAAATATGCTAGAATGACTGCTGATGGCACAAGGATGGAATGGGGGCTTTATTGTTTATACTGCGATTGCTCTCATTTCCCGCCAGAAGGAGCACGAATCTACGAGGACCTGGTCGAGGACATAGAGTCTTCCGATCAATCAAAGGAAGAATCTGTTGTGGAAGGCCAGGAAGTGCCCGATCTTGAAATGGCTAAACAACTGAATGTTACTTTGATAGACAACCACTGATAATTACTCATATGACTCTCGAGCCGAACATCTAATCCTAACGAATTCAATTGGGATGGAAGTTAGATTTTACAGATCGATTGTGGCGTAGTTGTCGCCATTCGAAGACCGAGCTGCTTGACGGCATCGCGATCTGATATACAGTGGTCATACTTTAGATGTAAATACAAGAATAGTCCAGTCTCTCTGAATCCCTTTCCTTATGTAAAGTGATAGGCCGTTAAACTCCCAATCAGTCTAATTAGTAAAACAGTTGCAGTATAAAGCCTAAAGTCAGATGTAAAATATCCCAGCTACCTGTTTGTCGCAACGTCTTCTATGTCTAGATAAGCCATCGTTGCCTTTCTCACTCAGATCTCGCACTTTTCGTTTTCTTGCTTCTGAGCTTCATCATCAAAAATACCAATGCATACGACGAGATGCAAAAGAGTGCGGTGATAGCAGTCTGGTGTGCTCATTAGTAATTGTGTTCGAACTTAATCACTGCCCCCTATGCCTATACTTACATCTCTCCATGCGTAGTAATCGGCATTCAAATTGAATGTTCTGGCATAATCTGCTCCCGTCTGGTAGGGGCAGTAAAGACAACCCGCTGTAGCATTGCCATTGTCTATGTATCCGGGCTGATTTGCTAGGAAGTTTGTCATATACTCTCCACAGGTTTGACCGTCAGGAGGATCGAAAGACGTAAACTCATGAGGCTTACACTTGACCTCGACATCCCATAGTACAGTGCCAAATAGACCACCGACAAGGTAACGGAAAGGGTCTAGGTAGTAAAGCCAGTACTTCCAGAAAGGTTGCATTGATGCATAAGGAACGACAACGCCACAGAATGAGATCAAGCCACAGCCTATAAGAAGTGGGTTCATGATTGCTGCAAAATATTCATTTGGTGCGTAGGCAGCAATAGCCTGGCCAATGGACGTGTAAAGAAACTCGTAAACTGATGATGATATGTCAGAACAGAACAAACTTTTTAAGGACTTATGCTTACATATCATCTGCAAATAAATGTGGCCCGAGATACTTGCAGTAACAGGAAATCCTGCAGTGAAATACCAACAGCCAAAGTAGAGAGTTGCACAGATGATAAGGTAGGGAATCTCGGAGACGGCCTGAGCGCCGATGAATGCAATCCAGTGATACGTTTTGGACTGCGTATTGATGATTTGGTTAGAGCTGATGCCTTTGGTAAACCTTTTCCATGGTAACGTACCTTCTTCTCACGAGTTTCGAATAAGTCGCGATTATGAAGGAAAAATGGTTGCATCTGATTAATACAGCCAGGTGCTACAAATATGAAGTTGAAAATCGCGAACAGGCGGAGTTGCAGATCGAAAGATCCGTCATCAATCATCCAGAACGTGAAGCCACTGAAAAGAGCGGCAAATATGTGTAGATTGATCTTGTTCCAGACATAATCCTACTGGTGGTTAGCATTCAATGATTCAACACCTTTGTGCGATGCTACTGACTGGTGATCGCCAAAGCTGAATCATGAGTCGATATAGAACCATCTTGAATTGAAACCATTTCGAAGATGCAAAGTCGACGCCCTCTTCAATTTGATGATCAGCTGCAGCAGACTCCTCGTTAAGTAGCATGAGCTTATTGATTGCAGTTCGTCGTTCTGGCGACTGAGACCAGATGTCAACCCAATCAATTTTGACCTCAGTATTACTCTGAATGATTTCTACGATGTGCTCTGCCGGATTTGTGTCGTGTGGGCAAGGCGCCCCATTTCGGGCAAAGTAATCGAGGACTATATTAGAATCTTTACCAGCTGGGATAGTATTAGTCTCGGAAACCGTATTTTGCCCCTTGATTTCGCTTACTCTCACCAAAATAGGCCATTCGTCCACCCTTCGCTAAGAGAAGTAAAGAGTCGAATGCTTCAAAAAGAACGGCCGATGGTTGATGAATAGTGCACTGGATAGTTAGCTTGTACTCGGATGATTTCGTTGATGACTCCTCAGAGATTATCATACCAGAACTGCTTGTCCACCGTTGACTAGGCGTCTTAAGAATCGTACAATGTTATATGCAGATTGTCCGTCCAGACCGGATGTTGGCTCGTCAAGGAAAAGTAATGTGGGTTTAGCCACCAGCTCTACTCCAAGAGTCACTCGCTTCCTCTGTTCAATGCTCAGGCCGGCACCAGGAACTATAGTACGGTGGGTTAGTACCTAGACAACAGTCAAATCGAGAAAAGGAGCACACTCACCGCCAATCAAGGCATTGGAAATGTCCTCTAATTCTAGTAGTTCGATGATGTGATCCACGTAAGCCACTTTTTCTGCTTCAGGCACGTGCCTTGGTTGCCGTAGCAAAGCAGAGAAAATGAGCGCTTCTTTGACCGTTGAAGTCCCTTCGTGAACATCCATCTGCTCACAATAACCCGTCATCCTCTGAAAGCTAATGCCTTGAGGTTTACCGTCAATCAGAATTGACCCATATATTTCTCCGAAGTCCTTCCTCTGCGCCAACACGTCTAGTAGTCTGCAAGCCAATATTAGTGTCGATAGACAAAAATGATTGAGAGTTCCTCACGTCGTCTTCCCAGCACCTGAGCAACCCATCAAGGCCACTAGATTGCCAGGCTGGACAAAGCCAAAGACTTTATCGAGTAGTTGTTTCTGATGCCCTTGATATTTGACGTAGTAATCAAGATCGTGCCACGTGAATGTTGATTGCTTGACGAACTGGGTATTTACCTGAGTGGGTGCAGCAGAGCTTCTCTTCTCCGCCCTTTCAAGATCTATAACTCCTTTGGCCTGCCTCAGATTTCTCTTATAGAGTAGCACAGATGAGCCACCATGACTGTTGCGGAATTCAAATCCAAGAGCTGTTACAGCAATAAATGTTATCCAAAATGCCATCAACACACCGAATCCGCGCCAGATGTGACCTGTCGCATAAGAATATTGTTGTGAGATGTACGAATGTCCGTCAATCATGCCGGAAGAGTTACTGCCTAGGATTGTACAACCTCTGTAGGCTTGCGATTTGTTGTTATAGTCCGTTCCGAATGGAATGTATTGAGGCGAAACGCAGTCCAATGTAAGCCCGGTAAACTCATTTGCCATAAGGGACTCAAAGGCATATGCCCCTGGGTTTAGATAGAAAATCCAACGGAACCATGGGTGCATTTTTTCGAATGGGATTAGATAGCCTAGAAAATTATCAGTATTGCGTCCATTGCAACGTCATACACGCGGGTCGAGTCACGACGTACCTCCATAGACAAAGAATACGGTTGACAGCAGACCAGTCATCTGCGACGCTGTGCCAAAGTGCCCACATAATGCACCAACCATGCGGAACATTTGCACAAACGTCAAGGTGCTGGCATTGATGACGATCCAAAAAGTAAAAAACTTCCCGGCATCTAATTGCAAACTTGCCATGAAATATATAATCAAGGAAAAGCAAGTGACCTGGACCATGACAATGGGAATGTCAGTGATGGCATTAGCAATGCAAAATGCGGTTGGCCGATAGAATCCGAAACGTTTATGTCGAACAAGAATTGGACGGCCCATGAAAGATGCCGTTGTCTCTGACATGGACTCCAATAAGAAGTACAAAATCGGGAAGAATAATACTCCAGGCCGGAGGAAGATAGATTCGCTGGTGAGTGGAAGGTTGTAAAAGAGGCTGCCGCATACTAGAGCCTGGACGATTGCTGAAAAGACCTTGACAGCAATTGACAGGCGATCACCCATCATAATTTGGAACTGTCTATCAGGTACCGTTAGTATAAGAGCATAATGCCGCAGTTTAATCCGTACATACCGGATCGTACAATTCACGATTTGGGCTTTCAGGCCAACAGTGTATACACTTCGCTTTCCACCCACACGTCTTTGCTTCTTTTCACTCTCGACCGCCAATTGAATGTTTTGGACCTCTTTTTCTAGACTTTGTGTTGTTCTCTCAGCTTGCTTCATCTGCTGGCAAGTGACGCTGTTCTTGTAGGCCGTCTCAAACTCCTCAGCTGTTGTAGGTACTTTCCCCTCGGCCTCGGGTGACACAACCCGTTCCGTTTTTACCGTGACTGACGTTAGGAAATCAGCGATATTGGCGCCCTTCGGACAGATAAACCCCAGTGATTCGAAATACTGTCGTGCGAAGCTCCGTGGACCATAGTATATGACAAGGCCATCCGCTAGAACTAAAACCTTGTCGAACTTATCGAAAATACTATTGCCAGCTTGGTAGAGTGTGGCGACGACAGTCTTGCCATTGCGATCGGCTTCCTTACGTAAAGTAGTCGCAAACTCCAAAGCGGTCTTTGAATCTAAACCCCGAGTTGGTTGATCCCAGAATTGCATTGGGCTCTATGATGAATATTAGCCAAGATCAAAGTCCACTTGATAGGTCTTACCTGGCCGGCCATCATCTCTGCCAATGAAACACGTTTTCTTTCTCCTCCAGAAACACCACGGATGAATTCGTTGCCAACTTTTGTCTTCTTGGCATGACCAATTCCGAGCGTGTCAAGGATACTATTCTTGGCCTCTTGAACATAATGATGCTTCTTTTTCAGATGCTCTTCCCTATCTCTAGGCACCTTATTCCTCAGTGCAAATTTCATGGTTTGGTTGACTGTCAAGGTTGGAAAGTGGATATCATCTAAGAGTACGATTACCCAATTTAGCATCATCTGGTCTTATCCATGGTGCGGAAACTTTGATTACCTACCCTCAGTATTCAACGCAATTTGCTGCCGATATCTCTTGGCACGCTTGTGATCCATGCTGCCGTACCATGTTTCACCTCGAACTTCATTGAAAGACTCGCGATGATTGGATAGCACGCGGAGAAGCGAGGTACACCCAGCACCCGGCCTTCCTAGAACTAGGAGCTTTACGATTTGTTAGATTGGATATCTGTTGATTGATATTGGAAATTTTTCTCCTCACCATTTCCCCCGGATTGATCTGTCCACTCACGCTATGCAGGATAGTCTGATGAGGAGTTAATAAAGTCGAACTACAAAAATGGTATTCATTCCAACCCTTTTGTGCTGGTCTCCACTACGGAGGATGTATTTAAGCTGTCGTGGATCGACTCGAGACCACAGCGTCTCTCCCAAAGCCTGGTCTGGCGCAGTCACTTTGACAGTCACATCTTTAAATGTGAGAGTTAGTCGTTTTTGAGGCGAATTTCCTTTGTAATCTCCATCTCGAGGGTATCCTGAAGCCTCTACATCAGTTTCGCTTGCGGATGAGTGGAACAACCCTTCTTCGTGGTCATTCATCGCTTCCTTCGTGCCGACCCCTTTATCAGTCGAGTCCGCCATTTATTCGTTTTGCTGAGTTGGCAAATTGTCTGCCCAGCATGCATCGCAATTCTGCATCTTGGTCAGAAGAGGCAAATTGATAGTGAAATGAATATGATAGACTGGGAGAGGATTTATTGGCGTCGAACTGGACTTTTATTGTTGTCCTATACGCCCCATTAAAGCGCTGCCGGCGGCGTGTGAGGGATGAGGGATGGCTCTTAATCCGTATATCCGTACATCCGCCGTACCGTACCGTATTTACGACATGCCTCTCCCTCCGGTGATTGCAAGCCATTGCTAGCAAACCCTAACCAGGAAATTAATGCATCCTACCAAAGATAGTAATTCCGATTGATAAGCCGGGTACTTGAGCCTCTTCCTGTCGATTTCGTTCATACTCAAACCCCAAAGTCTGACAACATGGAAGACCTGCCGCTTAGTCAGAGCTGAATACTTGTTTACATAATACATCTTAAACTGAATAATTCGCAACAAGAGCTGGATCTATCGAGAGGAATGCCTCCATATCCATTGTAGCAAAGTCAAAGTCCCATCCCATGTCGGCTATAGTTAGGTCGGCCTGCTCCTCCAAGTTCATGGTCATCGGGGACTGTGTGGATGATGATCCGTTGCCATCCATACCAAATGGCAACGAAGGGTATAGAAAAGATGGCGTCGTGCCCCTAGTCTGCCCCGACATGTGGCTATCTGCTATTGAGGATGTTCCATTGTGAATTTGTTGGGTGTCGGCGGACACGCTAATTGGCTGGTCATCAACGCGGAAATCCGGAATTACGGCCCTGACCATTCGCTCCACATTGGCCATCAGTACCGACGTCTGTGCTGGACTTCCCTTAGCCCTTGGTGCCATAGATCGGAGCGTTCGGATGCCTGACTGAAGCCATGGAAGGTTGCGACGGCCGGTTTCGTTTCCCTGCAAAAGGTCGAAAGCGAGAACGTGACAGGCTCCTTCGAGGAAAAAGCCGTGATATTTGATTTCCTAGAGCGAAGGTTCAGACGAGAGCCTTAACAAATGCGTGCAACAGCAAAGGAAAACCTACTCGACAAAGTATATTTTGCTCACAAGCTCCTGAGAGGAACCCAACTGAATGCCGTGCTGCATCGAGACACTGCTCACAGGCGGTGTCTAACCATGGAGGCAGATTCGGGGTACCGATAGCTGGGTGTTCTCCTGATGCTACATCATGCCTAAGCTTAGCACGTAGAACGAGGAACGGTCTGAATGTTAGCAGAAGCGTATGGTGATACACTTCAATCACGAAGTCAGCGCGCGGAAACGACACTTGAACGAAGCCGAGCTTACTAGTAGAGACCATCGTCTGGCAAACTCCGAGTTCGCCGCTGTTTGGATCCCCCACGAGGCCAAAGTCCATCTCTTGCCTCTGTTGCTTAGCAAAAAGAAAAAGCTCGCGACGAATCTCGTTCGCAGCGTTCCACATTGGTAAAAGCGACTGATGTTTTTGGGTGTAAATACGTGTAGCACAGGTCGACATTATGCGCGCAAGAGTGCACAGCGAATGTAACAGCTTTTCTTCGGCAACAAATGGTACACTAAGCTCGGATTCAGGTATGGAGCTTGGCCTCCCGAGACTGAAGCATATCCATCTAAATAGTAGTGAGCCCCAGCTTGTCATCAACTATTTGTGATGCAGTCAGTGGCACTCACATTTCCCAAAAGTAGACACTCCATATCGTGATTCTTCTCTGCCGTGTCTCGTCTGGTGCCTGGCCGGCGGCTGTCACATCCTTGTGTAGCCCAGCAGCTATAGCTTTACGAACGGCAGTGCCAGTATTGAGGAAAGCCGAGTTTGGCCTAGCTCTCTCTGCATTAAAATGCGCGTAGTTCAGGTTAGCTGGGACAGATTACGTAGGGGCATTAGGGCGACTTATCATGAGTAAGGCTGTCTGAACAGCTTGAATATTGACCATGTCATCAAGCTTTGCATAGCCTTGCTTTGCTTTCTGGAACAAGAACTGAGCTGCTGGCTCTTCTTCAAGCATAGACGCTCCAATTGCCATCGCTAGCAGAATGACAATGATATCCGGATCGTCAAACGAAAAGAGCCCAGCGGCGCTGTAGAGCTGTCCAAGTCGACGCCGATACACGTCTTTAGGGACCACAGGTAGAATATGCCAGTATGTGGCCAGATAGCGCTCCATCAGTTGACTTGCTAGAGCTTGGTTAAGGAACATAGCAGAGTAATCAGTTGTCATGTGCAACGCTTCATTGTTGTCGGCTAGATCACCGAAATACAGCCTCCGATTACCAAAGAGATCCAGTCCAGGACCGATTTCCTCCACTTCTCTGTGCTGGCTAGGAGTTTGCCTTGCGCCTTCTATCTGGTGATAGATAGAGTGCAGCATGGAGAAATTTGACGAGGAACCATAAAAGAGCTGAAGAGACATGGACGGGGAAGCTCGATGTGTCGCCGCCACACTGTGGTTCTGAATGCCCTCTGCTGCATTTTCTGATAGCTGACCATCCGCGTTGTCAAGAGTCTTCGAGTCTGAGATGGGATCTTGCATTCCACGCGACACTAATGGTACTCGGTCTGGTGAGCTTTTCCTGGGTCGATTTCGTGCCTTGGTTCGGTAGATACAATTAACGCCCCTGGCGCTGCATCGCTGACATGGTTCTTCGCCGTTGCAGCGAATCTTTCTCGTCCTACACTCTTGACATGCTTTAGAAATCCTCCATTTTGAAGCATCCATCGCCTTCAAGCGTCTGCGTTTGGCTGGTTTTGCCAGGGGACGAAAATAGGTGTTTTGGTGAAAGATGATTACCTGAGAGCTAAATGTCTTAGTTTGCGTTAGGCGAGTGGAGATGGCTACCTGGGTGTTAATTCCGGCTCTGTGAAGTACCGGCTGGGCGGCGTTGTACTATACAGTATGTGGGGGTTACAGTACAAACGCTGTATTTGTCAGTGCGGCGCCAACTCCCAGCATTCCAAAGTCTTGATTAGCAAGCTAACTTGTCAAACATGATAAACATCGCACAGATGGCTTTCATATATAAATAAGAACTCCATGTTGTGAATTTTTCAGAGCGTCTAGGACACTGCAAATGCTCTTCGTCGGAAGACAAGGTATTACATAGGTTAATAGTCATCATTGTCATCTGCAGAACAATATATGGGCTTCAAAGTCCGGATTCCCTTTTGCCCGATCTTTTTTATGTACAATTGGAAAACATTTTGGAGTAAATTGCATGTATTCCAATGCAAAGCATGAGAGTGAGGGAGTGCTCAGCAGGTATTGGCAATGCTGGACATTTTCGATATAGCATGAACGAGACGTTATATCGAGTCTCGCGAGGAAACGACCACTTTCACTTCGTCACCCATGCAAGGTGGCAAGATGTAGGAATTTTATTTTCGTTTGCATAAATTAGCACAGCTCTCATGAGCTTTCTGTATTAGGTCTATAAAAGCCGTATTGAATGTCGTTTTCTGTGGTCTTGCGGCCGTGCATGAATGCGGCAATGTTTGCATTGGTAAGTTCTCATGCGAAAGCACCTATTTCACATCTGAATGATCGAAACGTGTATATGAGGCCAAATAGCAAACTTGTTCAATAAAGTAATTTGAAAAGCACGGCAACTCAATAGATTCAGTTGCACAGTTTGGAAATTTCCGCGTATGTTCGCTATATATCTGACATTGAGGGTAGGTAAACCCGTAAGTGCATGTGGTGCAGCGAAATCGCATGCTGTAAGACTCCTAAACAAGCCATCCGACATATTCCTGTTCGGAATTGTGGTAATGCCTGTCACTTATCTCTATAAACTTGGGTTTCCTGGTGACATCAGCCCTCATAGTGCAAATATGCATTGCATAAGAGAATCATCTTCGCAGTTGAAGATGATAAACTGGATGATGGAAGAAGGTGCCTGCTCATATTTTCTAACGCTCAATTCTCACTTCGTCGACAAAGAAGGGTAACTGCATTTGAATATTCTTGGACATAGCCCGTAGGTTGAGGTCTTATGACTTATCAAGGGTGGCACCAACGAGACAACCCCTAGGCGGCCAATGCCTTTGCGGGAATGCATAACTAATCTAGACTTTCGAGATCTTTTGGCCGCCGTACAAACTTTGATCTAGCCGAGAGACCCATTGCACAACAGACCTTGGCGCATTCATGGTTCAAGGATTTAGAAGTAGTAACCTGGGGTTTCAAAATCTCTAGTCAACCCACTAATCTTCTACAACTTGATAATGTCATTACAAATATCAGAGGTGCTAGCTAGGACTTGCACTATTGTATCTCGATTCATGGGTGACAATAAT